TGGAAAGGGAAGAAATTTGCCAAATAGAAAGTAGACATGCCAGGGGATAGTTTGATTTCGTGGACGAACTCTCCTGGCATGTAATAGGTGTCCATGTTGGCCAATTTCCCACAATTTCCAGCCGCTTGCTGAAGCCTGGTAGAGGCTAAACTTTCTTTTCTTTACCGTCTAGCCGTTATTATAGCCTCGGCGACTGAAAAAAGTGGAAGTTGCCCATTCTCTTGTCTCTAATTTTCTATATACGTTTGTCATGTGTCTTAAATATGGGGGGGGGGTATTTTCGAGGGCTTGGACGGTTTATTCGAGAGCAGATTTGTCTAGCCTCTACCAGGCTTCTCTCACACCTCTACCACACTTCTTGTGTCTATCTACCATTTCCAGCCAGCTCTGAAGCCTGGTATACAGACTGAGGCTAACTAAGTTTGTCCACTATCCGGGTTCAAATAGTAACTTCATGGCTGTCTAAACTACTCTGGACCTAAACTACTCTGGACTATAACCCTAACGGTCACGGGTGGATCCATTCCCATGGTCATTTGGACCCTACTTTTAGCCTACTATCAGAACACTTTTATATAGGAAGGCCTCGTGGTAGCGTGGATGCCAGACTTTTCACAGGGCCAATACACAGACCAGTACCAAGTAGTCCCCGAGAAGATCAGGGTCTAACCAACCAAGAAACTTTCATCACCTTTGTAGAACGTCCTTGGTCTAACTGAGAGGGTCTTTGCAGGACAGGTTAGCCCTGGAGCCGAGGAACTAGTAGGTACAAACTACTGGCCCTCGCGACAGTCTAGCACCCAGGCTAGCTGGTGAAGGATAGTTTATTTAGCTGTCTACCAACACTGGTTCATCCCCACTCCTCCGGTTTTGCCTCCCACTGTTCACACTCCCATGTGAGGAGGGGCTCTGGAAAGAAGTTTGTGTTTACACAGGCCAGTTTAACACAAACTATCATAAGGCCACACCAATTTAATTTGTTGGTTCTTGTTTTTTTTTTTCAAGAAAAAATAAGCGACAAGGCGAAAAAAATGAAAACAGGTCTAGGCATCCTATTATAGCTGCAAATGATAGGAGCCATAAAGTCAACACAAAAGGCTGGGTCAATATTTAACAATGAATTTTTGACTTTTCATCAAACCACTGCATTGATAGATGGAAAAACTGTAACAAATAGGAAGAAAAGGCTCCTTACACTAGACTTTTTTGGCCAGTGTGTGTATGGAGCCAATAGCAAATTGTATGCCACCCAGGCAAGGGTACTAGGACCTTATAAGAGGACTTTTTCTTGTCATTGGAGTATAGATTTGTCTGCTGAACATCAATGATTGCAAATAGTAACTCTGTGGCAGCTGCTAGTAGTATTAATCTCCAAGCAGATTAAATGGTGGCAAGGCAGTGTCCATTGGCCAGAGGAGTGTCCATTAGTAAACTCCTCTGGCTAATGAATACTAGTACTGTCTTGCCACCGAAAGGGATCTGCTTGGAGATTAAGTAGTATCTCCTCTGACAAACTAGATGGCAAACTTCACCCCCTTTTACATTTACTTATTTAGAAAGAGATGAAACCTTATTATAATAAAACGGTACTCTCCATCACATTGTGGATGCTAGAAAAATTTAGAAATCGGGCAAATGCATGGGATAAATTAGATATACTGAGCGCACAGTTTACAGATCTGTTACTTCTCTTGAAGTTGAACATTCGTACACACAATTTCTACTACTAATATCAAGTGAGTGACCAAAATGTGTTTGACATAAATCAAATGAATGAATGAATAAGTGAATGAATGGAGACATAAAAACGTTACTACCGTAAATTTTATACTGTTCATGACCTGTGGTGCAGTTGCGAACGCTTGCCACCTTGCAGTAGTTTATGTGATAACTTTTTGGCGGTCCATCAGATAATTCTATCAATTAATTTCAAGAATGAAGAATCATGTGCCTACAGTGACCACCTGTCCATAGACCAGATTTTATCCGCCGTCCCCTGAATGGTTTTCTTGGTCAGTTTTGACTCTATACTATAGTAAGGCCACAGCAAGTAAATTTTATGGCCAGTGACATCCTCCGCAGACTCCAAATCTAATGCGAGCGGACGAAAAAAAAAGGCGGGCCAAAAAACAAGGTTCCTACATGATCAAATAATTGTACAAATGGTTTTGATTCAGTGAGAACATCACATATACACAGCCAGCATTACATATCACTGCATCAAAGTAAAAAACAAGACATTAAATCAGAGTCTTTTCTTGTCTCCTGTCCTCAGTTATCTGCCATCCACGTTCCGGCATGGTAACAGACATCTTTGCCCATTTTCGGCATGTTGACCACTGTCAGAAGGCAACAAAATTTCTTTTTTTTTCAAAATCAGGTGAAAATTAATGCGCGCGCTGATGTCATCCATATAAAATACTTACTGTGGCCTAACGTTACATGAGGTACAAAGGAGTGGGGTGAGGTACTTTTAGTACATTATGAGAGGTCTGGCCACACTTCCATCGCGTGTGTGTCCGTAAACCCAAACTTCCGCCATCTGATCGTTCCAGCGTGACTTACAACCATCTGCACTAATTCACATGTTCTGCTCTAACGAACCAGCGGACCTTTGTTGTGTCCCTGTCTCTTCCGTCTTTCTTTGTTTTGGTCAAACTCCTGCCGTCTTTTCGGATGTTCCCCGATGAGACAAGGAAGACGCCACGTTTTCTGCCATCTCTTTCTGTCAGTTGTAAAAGTGTGAGGATGATACAGAGTAGCCTATGTGGTGCCGCCATGGTTTGTTCTAGACGTCTGCTCTGATAGTTGTTGGTGGTCCCTAGTTGGTGGTAATTATAACAAAGGCCACACTGACTTGATTATATGGATCACATATCTATATACGGCCTGAGTTTCATAAGAAAAAAAGTTTGCCACCATACTAGGAATACTACAAAGCTATGAATGGAGATGTCAATGCCGTAACTTGCTAAAAAAACATTGGAATACAGATATTAGTGTCTTAGAATGCCACTTTTCTTTCTATAATTTTTCCGTATGACTAGGTATTTCGATATAGCCTGTTACTGATGCTACAGTGTACCAGTCCTAGCCTCTACCAGACTTCTTCAAGAGGCGGTCGAAAGAGTAGCCTCTACCAGGCTTCGGGAGGTGACTGGGAGGAATAGAAATCGGCCAAATAGAGAGATAGAATGCCAAGGAGTTGGTCTGCTGAAGAAAACAGTTTGCCGCTCTAGGTGGCCGATTTTTACTCTTTCCAGCCGCCTCCCGAAGTCTGATAGAGGCTACTGAAAGAGTACAAATTGGTCAAACATTCCAGGGGAGTTGGTCCACTAGAGAGTACAATTTGTCAAGCTGTACTCTCTAGCGGACCAACTCCCATGGCATTTCCCCCCTCTGTTTGGTCAATTTCTACTCTTTCCCGTTGCTTCCCGAAGCCTGGTAGAGGCTAGCTAGACCAGTCCGTACCACTCTAGCTGCGGTACCGGGTCGGGTGTGACATCTCTCACCGCTGACCAGCCTTGTCTAGACCGCTGAGAAATTCCGCACCTCTCGGTAGTATTGTTCCGTTTTATGTGAAGTCCGTCTTTGGTGTGAAAACCGCTTTGTGAAAAGGTGTGAAGAAAGATATTTTTGCTTTTTTTCCAGATAAATCTGGTCGTTGAAATATGCAAAATGGGAATCGTGCTAGTATACTAGCTAGTCTCTACCAGACTAACTACGCTGACTATATATATATAGGAGAATATTTGCCAGGGGAGTTTGGCCGCCTTGTAGGTTTGACTGACCGCGCTAAAACTACCTCCCCGCGGCCGGACTCCCATGGCCAATTTTACTATCTTTTTTGCCGAATTCTACGATCCGTATTCCCGTAGAAAGGCCTGGCGGTGGCTGCTAGTATACTTTCTGTAGCAACGCCCACAGGCACAATGTTCAATGGAGCGTGCTCAACTAAACTCAACACACTTGTTACGGTCGGTTGTGTATTCGCTCCAATGATGCGGAAAGGTATAAATGGGGGGGGGGGATCTCCAAGCAGACGTAGGGTAGCCTCCGTAGCAGGCTTATTATAGAACTGAGGGTTTGGTGGTCTTCGGCTGTTTTCTGATTAGCCCAGTTCAAAAAACGAGGGTAATTCAACCAGGCTTGCTATGTTGTATATATGCAATCAGAAAATAGCACATAAACTCCCAAAGACCCCCCAAACCCCCATTTTTGGTATGCTATGGAGGCTAACGTAGGGACCGACTCAGTACATTCTATTATGTCTTTCTATCAATAATTTCAAGAAAGAAACGTTTCCGTTAGGAAAACGCTGACAGGAGACAACATCGTACACTGTATGAGTCGTCAGCATTGCTTTAATCAATATTGATAAAATAAATTTGCAATAAAATAAACTCTATCGTTTGTCAGACGCAGAAGATAATTTGACAATTTGGTAGGCGAACGATGAATACAGGCGGCCAACATGAAGTCCCCTTGCCCCACTGAATCTGCTTTGAGATTAAATTTTTCGATGGGATAAAGGCATCCAATGCATTATTTCAGGCTGGCAAAACTGGAAATATTCTGAATAAGGCAATCTGTGTGATATTGACACATACTATCCCACATTTCAAACTGCAGATACAAGCCCCAAGATTAGTCCTTCATTTTCTGGGTGGTACCCTAAAAATCAATCCAGGTCCTTCCAGTAACCGCTTTTCATCATAATTTTTGGCATTTTTGCTCCATGAATGTCGAGATACATTGGGACAGTGTTGTTTCAGTCAACTTAGGATGTAGATAAGTGACTAGAATATTTATTTTGACAAATCTGGTTTCCAGCCCCTAAAAGCTGCACTGGATGCCTTTAACCTTTCAGACAAGACATCCTAGGGTATTTCCCATAGATCGTGGCTAATTCTACACTTGGCGCTAACTACAACATACGGTGGAGCCTTCAAGGAGAAAATCTTCTCGTGAGCTTTTCATTTTAGCACGTCCGTACCAGATCATAAACGGTACAGCACCGCCCGACACACGCGACTCGACTAACATAATACAGAAACGTGCAAGTTCACGGCATGAAATCTCCCAGCCCCAGTAGAACAAAAACGAAAGATCAGGGCAACTTTTAGCCAGTTACGCGGTAGAGTCTGTAGCGTTTAGAGGAAAAACAGCCAATGAAAGGAATACTCGTAAAACACAGATCCTACAAAAAAAGATACGGTCTTCTCCCGATGGTATATCAGTTCTGAATGTACCGGGTTTGCGACAGTCTCACAGCTATTCAGAAAGGTTATGCAGTGATTGCAGTCATTCATAAGCCAAGTTTATAAGGCCAAATGGCCTGCTATGGAGGCTATCTAGAATAAAATACTCGAGGGTTCGGACTAACCTTGACGAAACACTTGTTGAGGGAGAGGTTGTGTCGAACGCTGTTCTTCCAGCCCTTGTAGTCGCCGTTGAAGAAGGAATACCGCCGCTTGAGCTCGTCCACGATCTGGAGCAGCGTCAGTTTCTTCTCGGGCGACTCCTGGATCACCGCCGCGATCATGGCGGTGTAGGACACGGGCGGCTTGGCGTGGCGGCGGTACGGCTTCTTCTTGCCCTTGCGGCCCGTGCTCGTCGGCGTGACGTCGGGCTCTGTTGTCGGGCTGAGCGCGGTGTCTTCCCCGTGTGCCGGACTGGGCAGCTCCGCGGACTTCGTCGTGGTGTCCGTCGCTGCTTGGTTGGACCCGGTAGCCGACATGACGACGGGAGAAGGTCCACACATGTCGTCGTCGGCGCTGTGGCTGTTGTGTTCTGTCCGCAGGCGGACGTCGAAGTCGCGTCGCCGGGACAGGTGCGGGTCTTCGACCGAGCGGGAGACGGCGGGCGGGTCGTGCCAGCCCGGTGCGCCGTACGGGTAGGTCGGCTGGCCGGGAGGGACGAAGTCCTTGAATTCGCTGAAGCAGGATCGTATGGAAAACCGTCGAGGTACTTCCACTTCCATGTCAGTACGGGGGAAAAAACCCGCTTGCTCTCTAGGCGGGGCCGGCGCGATTTTCAACGAGAACTTGGCAGAGATGGTCGCGAAGGTCTGGCTCTGCTGTGCAAGGAAACTTTCTCAGTGTTCTCCCGCGGACGTGTGATTCAGATGACGTTCTCGCAAAACAACTCTCAATTATACGGATGAAATGCGGGGAGGCTGTAGGGAAAAAAGTCTCTCTACTCTAAACAACTTCCCGTCCACACTCTCTCCAGGGCTTCTCGGTTAAAACCAACAATCACAACCACGCACATGTAGAGAGACCGTCCGTCCTGTGCAGTATCCACACACGGAATGACTTGTACCAGACACTGAGCGGGACTCTAATCTATGCTAGTGTTGTTCATGACACCTTCTCTTCTTGCTGCAGAGTGTTTCTGCTTTTGTTGTTGTGGAGTCGGGATTTGACAATCTCCGCTCAGTGGGATGTTTATGACCGCAATCACTCGGCTAATTGGCCAGCCCTAATCTATGCATGCGGCTCCTCACGCCAACAATAATCTATAAAAAGATACTGCTTCGGAAAGTTTTTCAATCTAGCCTCCACAGCATGCAAAAAAACTGGGGGTTTGGGGGGTCTTCAGGGTCTTTTATGTGCTATTTTCTGATTGCATATAGATAACATAGCCGGTCTGGTTGAATTACCCCCGTTTTTAGAACTGGGCTAATCAGAAAACAGCCGAAGACCACCAAACCCCAGTTCTATAAGCCTGCTACGGAGGCTACTTCAATCTACGTCGCTTTCAAGAAAACTTTATGAAAATACAAACACGTATCTACACTTACTCAAGGTCCCTGCCTTCTGGTAAAGGTGGTGGAAGGTACAGTATTTCTTTGAACCAGCCTGAGTTAATTTACTACACAAGTTGTTGAAAAGTCGGGCTGATCTGACTGAAGACCAGCGGGGAGTGAGCTTGTGTGGGATTTTCTCCCTGTCGAGATTGTGTATACTTCCCTCTATAGGACGTAGAACCTACTTCTTTTTGTCTAACCCGTGTATGTTTTTAGAAAGATTATTTTAGAAACCAGAGACTGAGAGAGTACGAAATGAAAGAAAAATTGTTCCGTTTTTTGTCTGATGTCGTCTGGTGTTGAGCTTTTGTGGTGGCGCCCCATAGTTTATATTTCCGGACGGGGTGTGAAGCTTTTGATGAGCGAGAGGCGCCATGCAGTATGGCACCGGTAATTCACCGCTTCTTGGGCCGCAGTTCGACACGTGGCAGGCGCCAAAACACATTGCCCCGACGGACGCCCAGAAAAAAAAATCTGACAAATTGTTGAACTGTAAACTTTATCTTTTGTTCTGCAACCTGCTATGGCTGGCCAAGAAGGTTAAATACATACAAGATAGAGTGATTTTTATATACTTGTAGTGGATATCAAGCTGTGCAACGATTTTCCCAATCTCTCTCTTTCTCAGTCAGTCAGTCTCAGAAGACTAAAACTGCAAAAACGGCCCAATACCGTATGAGCACACACAAAACCAAAACAGTGCGCTATGCCTGTAACGTAACAGTAAAAATGCCCCTGTATGTAACTCTATAAAGTAGCCTCCACCAGGCCTCAGAACCTGGCAAGATATTAAGAAATTTGCCAAATAGAAAGTTGACATGCCAGGGGATAGTTTGATTTCGTGGACGAACTCTCCTGGCATGTAATAGGTGTCCATGTTGGCCAATTTCCTACAATTTCCAGCCGCTTGCTGAAGCCTGGTAGAGGCTAAACTTTCTTTTCTTTACCGTCTAGCCGTTATTACAGCCTCTTGTCTCTAATTTTCTATATACGTTTGTCATGTGTCTTAAATATTGGGGTGGGGGTATTTTCGAGGGCTTGGACGGTTTATTCGAGAGCAGATTTGTCTAGCCTCTACCAGGCTTCTCTCACACCTCTACCACAACTCTTGTGTCTATCTACCATTTCCAGCCACCTCTGAAGCCTGGTATACAGACTGAGGCTAACTAAGTTTGTCCACTATACGGGTTCAAATAGTAACTTCATGGCTGTCTAAACTACTCTGGACCTAAACTACTCTGGACTAAAACCCTCACGGTCACGGGTGGATCCATTTCCATGGTCATTTGGACCCTACTTTTAGCCTACTATCAGAACACTTTTATATAGGAAGGCCTCGTGGTAGCGTGGATGCCAGACTGTTCACAGGGCCAATACACAGACCAGTACCAAGTAGTCCCCGAGAAGATCAGGGTCTAACCAACCAAGGAACTAATAGCTATAGGTACACACTACTGGCCCTGGCGACAGTCTAGCACCCAGGCTAGCTGGTGGAGGATAGTTTATTTAGCTGTCTATCAACACTGGTTCATCCCCAACTCCTCCGTTTTGCCTCCCACTGTTCACACTCCCATGTGAGGAGGGGCTCTGGAAAGAAGTTTGTGTTACGCAGGCCTGGTTTAACACATACTACCATAAGGCCACACCAATAATTTGTTGGTTCTTGGAACAGCCTCTTCGTTTTTTTCTGATTTGCAAAAAAAGATTCTGATTCTGAATCAACTCAAAAATGCTCATTTTTTGCCCCCAACAGTTGAGGAAGGTCCTTTTCTTTCTAGTTGTTACATTTACCAATGCAGTGGTTTGAGTAAAAATTCAGAATTCATTGTTTAAATATAACCCCAGCCTTTTGCGTTGACTTCATGGCCCCTTTGGTAGCATCTGGGGTTATAGTAGGATGCCTAAACCTGTTTTTATATTTTGACGCCCTTCATATTTTTTCCGAAATAATAAAGAGAACCAACAAATTAAATTGGTGTGGCCTTACCACCCTTCAATCATCATAGTAAGTATATGTTTGCTTCCAGTCTACGAAACCTCTTGGCCAACTAAAAAAGAATAGAAATTGGCAGAATGCTACAGGCTCCTTACACTGGACTTTTTTGGCCAGTGTGTGTAAATTGTATGCCACCCAGGCTAGAGTACCCTATCAGAGGACTTTTTCTTGTCATTGGAGTATAGATTTGACTGAACTTCAATGGTTGCAAATAGTAACTCTGTGGCAGCTACTAGTAGTATTAATCTCCAAGCAGATCAAATGGTGGCAAGGCAGTGTCCATTGGCCAGAGGAGTTAGCCTCTACCAGGCTTGAGGAGGCGGCTGGAAAGAGTAGAAATCGGCCAAAATAGAGAGATATTGCCAAGGGAGTTTGTCTGTTGAGAGAACAGTTGTGGAGCGGCGAACTGTTCTCTCAACGGCCAAACTCCCTTGGCATGATTATCTCTCTATTTTGGCAGATTTCTACTCTTTCCAGCCGCCTCCTCAAGCCTGGTAGAGGCTACAGAGGAGTGTCCATTAGCAAACTCCTCTGGCTAATGGATACTGTTTTGCCACCAAAAGGGATCTGCTTGGAGATTAAATAGTATCTCCTCTGGCAAACCAGTTTACCTGATTTCTATTACTGAATGTTTCCAATTTCTACAATTCTTTAATTTCTTTCTTCTTTCTCACATACAATCTATATCGGATTTATACGCGCCGTGTTGGAATACGCGTGTCAAGTGTAGCATCCGGGACTTACAGTTGCTGAATGCCAGTCAATAGAGAGAGTGCAGCGAAGAGCATGCAGAATTATTCTTGGACAGAACTACAGTAGCTACAGCTCGGCGCTGTCTGAACTCTCTCTATCCACACTTTCCCAACGACGGCATGAACTGTGCAGAAAGTTCGCTGAGTCGTTGCTGAAATCGCCGACCTACAGAAACTGGTTGCCACCTTGCCGTGAGGCCATATCCGGCAGGACTACCAGATCGAGTAAACTGCTACAAACTCTCAGACACAGAACTGTCCGATTCACTAAGAGCCCTATATACTATGTGACAAAGTTGCTGAACGATACGCAAGTTCTGTAACATACTGGTTGTTGTACTGGCCGAACAGGCTTTTCGTACTCTTAATATTGTATTTTCTATGTATATGTAGTGTTTTGAATTCTCTATTGATAACATTCTCAAGATTTTGAATTGTAAAAAAGTCTACAATTCAGCCATTTAGGCTGCCACCGACTTTTAAACCTGTATGTCTATTTATTTGTTTATGAGAATAAACCAGTCATCATCATCATCATCATCATCATCATCAAACACACACTCGCAGAAACACACACTCACACACAGTACCACTCTCACGGACACACACACCACTTACTTGTACACGTTAACACTCTCACTATCACAAATCCATACGTAACACTCAAACACTTCTCAGCACCAAAAGTAAGGACAGAAATCTTGCAACATTCATGTATACCCCAAAACTTTTAATATTACATCTTCTCAACAGCAAAGCAAGACAGAAGGTTCTTCATATCATCTAGTAAGGACTACAGATGTCTTGAATTCTTGATGTGACCGGTCTACCCCCTCCACTAGTACAGGAATCTCAGCGCTGTGTCTCCTAAATTAGCATTGAAGTTACTGGGTATCCTCTGAAAAAACACAGGACAGAAGTGATCGTTAGTGAAAGTTGTTTTTGTGTGACAAAATCATACAGTCAAAATTGTGTAGTGTGACCAATCCAGGGACTTGGTGAAAATGGGTACAGTAAACAGGTGACCACTATCGAAAGGATTTGTCATGCTTGTGTCAATGGGAAAATTAATCTATAGGAGTCTAGGACCACCAAAAGTGGTGTCAAAAGCACTTACTGACTTTGGACAGACTTTTCCACTGACCCCATAGTATGTTGGGAGACCTTAGGGGGTATTATAGGTAGTGCAGGAACTAAACAAAACTACATGTACTAGTAAAACAAGAAAAGCTTTTAAAAAAAGCTGGCCTGGCCTCAAAAAAGTACCACTAAATGAAGGCATTGTCAACCCGTAAGTTACTTTCATGGCTCGCGGGGCACTTTTGCGAGAGCCAAATCTCAGCAATTCTTGATCCTCAACTTCAATATTTTACCAAAAAAATTGCTAGGGCCTCCGTAGTACAGAGCACAAACCTTGGTAAGTT